AAGATCATAGCATATCATAACATAGCATAGCGCAGCATAGTATAGCATAGCATAGCATAGCATAGCTTAACATATCACAGCGCAGCATAGCATAGCACAACATAGTATGGCATAACATAGTATAGCATAGCAAACAACAAAGCAAACGCAACAGCAAAGGCAACAGCAAAAGCAAAGGCAAGGCAATGCAAATCAAAAGCAAAACCAATGCAAACTTGTAGATGTAGATGTAGATGTAGATGTAAATGTAGATGTAGATGTAGATGTGGATGTAGATGTAGATGTAGATGTAGGTGTAGGTGTAGATGTGGATGTAGGTGTAGGTGTAGGTGTAGGTGCAGGTGTAGGTGTGGGTGTAGGTGTAGGTGTAGGTGTAGGTGTAGATGTAGATGTAGGTGTAGGTGTAGGTGTAGGTGTAGGTGTAGGTGTAGGTGTAGGTGTAGGTGTAGGTGTAGGTGTAGATGTAGATGTAGATGTAGATGTAGATAGATGTAGATGTAGATGTAGATGTAGATGTAGATGTAGATGTAGATGTAGATGTAGATGTAGATGTAGATGTAGATGTAGATGTAGATGTAGATGTAGATGTAGATGTAGATGTAGATGTAGATGTAGATGTAGATGTAGATGTAGATGTAGATGTAGATGTAGATGTAGATGTAGATGTAGATGTAGATGTAGATGTAGATGTAGATGTAGATGTAGATGTAGATGTAGATGTAGATGTAGATGTAGATGTAGATGTAGATGTATGTAGATGTAGATGTAGATGTAGATGTAGATGTAGATGTAGATGTAGATGTAGATGTAGATGTAGATGTAGATGTAGATGTAGATGTAGATGTAGATGTAGATGTAGATGTAGATGTAGATGTAGATGTAGATGTAGATGTAGATGTAGATGTAGATGTAGATGTAGATGTAGATGTAGATGTAGATGTAGGTGTAGGTGTAGATGTAGGTGTAGGTGTAGATGTAGATGTGAGTCTCGCTGTTGATGTTGATGAAGGTGTAGATGCAGGTGTAGATGTTAATGTAGCTGTCGGTGTAGATGTAGATGTTGCTTTCCTAGATGCTCCAACTACTAGGTAGGTAGGGTCGCACTGGGAAAAGAATTCTCCCCCTGTGGAGGGACAGGCCCGACTTCAGTGCAGCCCCGCCCGAAAGATGTCGCTCTCTCGACGCCGCGCCTCGCTGGGCCGCAGGGGGCAGGCGCGACCGAGGCCGCGCGCTGCCTCTCGCCCGCCCCTCCTGCTGTCCGAGGGCTCCGCGTCGCCCAGGCCGGAGAGGGCGGGCGGGCCCGCCCGCCAGGGCTGGAGAACAGGGGCGAACACAGGAGGAGGAGGAGGGAGGAGGAGGAGGAGGAGGAGGAGGAGGAGGAGGGAGGAGGAAGGAGGGAGGAGGAGATGGAAAGGAGGAGGAAGGAGGAGGAAGGAGAAGGAACGAGGAGGAACGAGGAGGAGGAGGAAGGAGAAGGAACAAGGAGGAGGAGGAGGAAGGACGAGGAAGGAGGAGGAGGAGGAACAACATGTCCCTCCTCCTGTTCGCGCGATTGTAGGCAGGCAGGCGGACGCGCTACCGGCGCACTGGATGCTTCAGTCAGGCGGCCAGAGCCGGCCGCTCTGGGAGGAGGCGTGGAGGCGGGGAGTTTTGAGGAGGAGGAGGGTTGTTGCTATCTGTACCAGGTCCTAGCCACTTTGCCCGATGAGGGGGCGTACATGTGGACGGCTCTGCTTCAACACTTCGCGATGCGCTCGTGCGAGCTCCCCGTCATAGCCCGACCAATTCCTGGCCTCCCCGCTGTCTGCTGCAGTGGGCGATCGCTCCTGGCTCTCACGCTTGCGGCCGCTTCGAGCCACTGCGTGGCAACACGGAGGTGTGGGTGGAGGAGAGGTGGGGGAGGAGGAGTGCTACGACGAGGTCTGCCCATTTTGATGAACACGTTCTGGGTGTCTTCGGCTGCCAGTTCTTGGCTGCCACGTTCCTGGCCGCTGCCAGCCACTATTCGGTGACATGAAGGAGAGGTGGATGAGGAGGAGGCGGCGGATGTGGGTTGAGGCTAGCTGTATTCGGCCAGTTCTTAGCCACCTCTTGCCCGATGTGCGGTCGAGCAAGTGGAAAGCTTTTTCCCGATGCAGTTGGCGAACACGACGAAAATGAGCGCCTGACGGTGATCGTGGCTGGTAGAATTGGGAAGCTCAGCCTCTCATAGTCGTTACAGGCGTCTCTCGTTCGGACTGTGCTCGTGGCCCGCCACTCCGATCTCTCTCCAGGGTAGGAGAGGTCGCCTGTGACATGGTCTGGGCGCCGCTAGCTCAGAGCAGCTTCGCGCCCTTGGCTTGTCTTCCGAGCGTGCATCTATGATGATGGTGGTTGGGTTGGAGGAGGTCTGGAGGTGGTGGAGGATTGGAGGAGATGCACGTCGTCCTGGGCCAGCCGCCGCTGGCGATCATTGCCAGCGTAGCGCTCTTCGACTGTAGCCTCGGGCCTCTCCCGTCCATCACATTTACGGGATGACCTTCGTCTCTTGCTGCTGGTTCTCGCTCTGAGCTCTACGGCGGCGCGGTAGCACCTCCTCGGCCAGTCCCCTCCTCGGTGGCGGAAGTGACTGCCAGCGCCACCCGAGGGAGGGGCAGTGCCAAGGGGTGCTTCAGTCTTCCCACCCGCTACTGTCCATCATCCTGCTCACTCTCGTCTTGCGCTCTTCCACCCTCCTTGACTTGCTATCCTTGTGCCCTGATGTACTGTGCCACTGCGTCTGGCGCCGTGCTAGGCATGCCCGCGTGACTGCAGCGGCGTGCTGGCGGCTCAGGCACCTCTCTCACCTGCTCCCGTCCATCATCCTGGGGAGGGTCATCCAGATGTTGTTGGAAGGGTGGGGGTGGGGGTCTCGCCATCCGCTTGGCACTCTCGTAGCACCTGCTCCTGGAGCTCCCCGCCCGTGCCGGAACCCTTCCAGCGGGCGCGGGCCTCATCAGCGTCGGTCGAGGCCGACGCCGACTGACGCTACGAGCGAGCGCGCTCGGCGGCATGGGCAAGAAAAAGGAGGAAGGAGAAGGAGGAGGAGGAGGAGGAGGAGGAGGAGGATCAGGTCCCTCCTCCTCCTTCTCATCCTCCTCCTGCTCTTCCTTCTCCTCCTGCTCCTCCTTCACCTCCGTCATGCTTCCTCCTCTTCCGTCCTCCTCCCTCCTCCCGTCTCCTGCTCCCACTCCTGCGCGGGCCGCGCGCGTATGATCGGCTTTCCCTACGGCAGGTTCGCGTCGTGACGACTTCCGCGTTTGATTTCAGACACCGCCTGGACCGTTTATCCCTGAACGAACGGCGGCTTCTCGATCGCCTGATCTTTCCACATCGGCCGATCCTGGACCACTGGCGGCGATCAACCTTGAACGCCCGCAGCCGGCTCGCCGCCCCGTCTACCCGACACGAACCCACCGTGGTGCGAGCGGCTTTTGCTATCCGCGGGCCGCCCTGAGGGCGTTGCCCGCTGATCAGCGGCAAGCCGCGGAGTGACCGGCTTCCCGCAAATAGGGAAAATTCACACAGAGGACGTACGCGCCTAGCCACGTAATTACATGAGTACGGCCCCCGGGTCCGCGAGACCAGCCTCGCGTCACAGACGCTCGCACACCGAGTGATTACTTTCGAAACAAAGACGGGTTCATGCACGCTGCAGATCGGCACCCCGACAGGCGCTGCCCCAGCCGGCACCCCGCACCAAACTTTTTCCGTCGGCAGCGAGGCGGGACGATCCGCTCCAGCGTGGCAGCGATGCGGGGGCACTGCAAAGCGAACTGGCCGGCATGCAGGAGGGAAAGGGAGGGGCAGGGCGGCCGCGCTCCCCCCCCGCACCAAAGAGGAGGGCAGAAAGACCAGCCTCAGAAGGAGCACCCCTGCAGGCCAAGCCCTCCAGCAGGAGTGCGGCGAAGCGGTGCGCGCACCGTCGGTCCGACGGACCAGCCCTGCAAGCCCCGGGAGGGCAACCGAAAAGCTGACAAATATGATCACCCTCCCGTCGCTACTTTTTCACGACGCGAGCATGTCTGAGCCCGGGGGACCTGTTCCCGGGCGCGTTATGGCCAAAACTGCCGGGCGGATCCAGCCGTTGGGACGTGCAGCCCCCTGGAGCCCCGGGAAAAAAAAACATAACTACCAAATTCGATCCTCGAATCTGCGAGCCTCGATTCTTGGATTTTCCGACGCGGACATGTCATGGAATGCCTCTCGAGATCCGAAGGCATCGTACTCTTACTCGCCGGCCTTGCCCCACGGGGAGGGGGGGGGCTGCTTGACGTCTTTGCGCAACCTGCATTAAGGCATGCATGCTTCAGACGGCCAATCGTATCAGCAACGTGTCGTGGTGTTCGGGCCATTCGGCCGTTCGCGCCAGGGCGCCGAGCTCCACCAAATAACGCATGCGCAAACGCAAAACCTGTCAATGCTTCAGCGCAGGGTCAGCCTCAGCATGGGGGGAAGCAGTCCTCAGGGAAACGGGTCCTTCCTCCAGGACCACTTGTTCATCCCGAGTCGCTTTCGGACCGTCCCGGGGCCCCTGGAGGGCCCCGAGAGCCCGAAAACGAAGAGAAACCCAAGACTCCCTCCCAGAGATCCGATGTCGTGATCATTTCAATGCCGGGTTCCCGGAAGGGTCGACCCACTCCCCAGGACCAATGTTTCAACCCGAGTCGTGTTTTAACGGTCCAGGGCCTGGTGAGGGCCCCATCGAGGCCCAAAACTGCGGAAAACGCCCGTCTTGATTCTTGTCAATGCGTTGGATCTCTGGGTGTCCCTCAGGATCTCTGGGCGGCGATGGCCTGGGTCAGCGGGCCGACCTGCCCCCCCCTCACTCCCCCTCCCCGGGACAGCCGGACCCTGCGGCCTGCGCAGGCCCGAATGGGGCACCGTCGAGGCCGATGAACAGGTCGACCTTTCCGAATCAAGAGCACCCTCGTGTCCTCTGCGTTTCGTGCCCCCCATGGCGAGCAGCCCCCCCTCGGCGCCTCGGCGACCTGCGGCGGCGCGCGGCCGGCTGCAGACACCCCGGGAGGCACCTCAGCGGCGGCGGGCGCCGAGGCGGCCCGTCGTCCTCCCTCTCGGCCCGCCGTCCTGCCGAGCGATGCCGCCCTCTCCCGGAGGGAAGGCGAAGGCCATGGCCACAACGGAGCGCGGAAACGTCGGTGTCGACCCTGGCCCTGGGAGGAGGAGGAGGAGGAGGAGGAGGAGGAAGAGGAGGAGGAGGAGGAGGAGGAGGAGGAGGAGAGGAGGAGGCGGAGGAGAAGCTACGAGGAGGCGGAGGAGGAGGAGGAGGAGGAGGAGTAGGAGAGAATGGGAGGAGCAGGGAGGAGGAGGAGGACGAGGAGGAGGAGGAGGCGGCG